CGTAAACAAAAGTTTCTTAAGTTTTTTTCATAAATTCAGTTTTCGAGTTACATTTTTCATTATTTATTTCGAAGAATTTTATAATAAAAAAATGGTGACAAAAAACTACAAAAAGCCAATTTGGCAATAACGGACACGTGTCCGTTATTGCCAAATTGGCTTTTTGTAGTTTTTTTGTCACCATTTTTTTATTATAAAATTCTTCGAAATAAATAATGAAAAATGTAACTCGAATATATTGTTTATTACCTCTAAATAGTCGAAATAATAGCGATACATACCTATACTTTAGTAAAACTTTATGTGTCGGGAATAAAAATATATTTAGGATAAATAAACTGTACCCTTGTCTCATATTTTAATATTTTTTTTTATTTGGGAGCAATAAACTTTTTTCTCAGTGTAGGTATCGCCTTTAGAATTATTTTTTTAATTAATTTAATTAATAATTATGATAAAATAAAAATATTTTCTCATCGGTTAAGTTATAACTTAAAATTTTAATTAAAACGATCGTCTTTTTTCGACTATTATTTTAGACGATCGCCTTTTGTATCGTTTATCACTTTAAACGATCGTCTTTAGGGTCGGCTATTATTTAAGACGATTAAAGACGATCGTTTAAATAATTAAACGATTTCGTTTGAAAGTAGACGATCTTCTTCAGACGATCGTCTTTTTTACAAAAGATCGTTTAAAAAATTAAGCGATATCGTTTAAAAATAGACGATCTTCTTCAGACGATCGTCTTTTTTTTAAACGATTTTTTCCCATGGGACCATCTTATGATGGTAGTTTTTCTTTTTTAAAAGCAAAAAAAAATTAAAAATAAACCATTTCAGAATTATTTTGCACAATAAAAGATTAGTAAATCCCAAATAATGTATTGTCTATTCATGTATAGATAAAAAGATCTACGGAATTGTGCAGAGTTTGGTAAATTTTAGCCTGAAAGGCATTATTCAGAATACTTAATTTGATGTGTATTGAATAATTTGAATATTAATTTAGCCCTAAGTACTGTATAATTTTAATGGTTTATCCATATTTTGTGCACCTATCTAAAATTGCTTTACGACATTCAAGGAAAAGACATTAAGCGTATTAACACATTTATAATTTAAATTTCATTTTAAATGGATTAACAAATTATAAGCCAAACTTTAAGTGCTGTTAAAAATTAAACGTTACTTTGTGGTTTTTTGATTTTAAAATCGAAAATTAAAAAATAAAAATCAAGGTAATAAATATTATATAAAAATTACTATTTAAAAAGGTGTGGATTTGCAAAAATTAATCACAAAATATTACTTACTATACGGCATCAGTGATTGGCTGATTTCAATATTCATTATGATTTAAACCAGTCTGGTTTTAAATTGGGATAATGAGAGGTTGGCATATTTTAACAGATATCCACATACTTCCACACTGTGTGGAGGTATGTGCAGACATGTGTTGGTTGTATCATGTGTGCAGATATCAGATTTTTTATAAGTATACCGAATTTTCATTTTTCAGTTTTTGGTTTTTAAGAGTTGTAGAATAATTTTTAAGAGTGGGAGACGCTCGAGAGACGGGCAGCGTTGCCAACTGCAGGGAATTTTACCTTTTTCGGGATTTTTTTATGTCGAAGGGGAAGAAGGGTATCTTTTATGTAAAATGTGAATATTAGGGAATTATCAATAAAAATGCTGGTCAGTAAGAGTCTACCTGACTCGAGACTAATTATTTTTTTTTCAAAATTTTTTACATTTTGTTAATTTTTAATTTTTTTAATTGTGTTGCGGCAACTTTAGCCCCACTTGTTACAAAAAAGTCTGGCAACCCTGGTGTTATGTGCTGTCAGTCACAGAACATTTCTGTCACTGATTGAAATTGATAGTAGGTATCAACAATATTATGATCTTGTCAAATATGTCATAGATGAAGGGATTTTTTTAATTTTAAGTGTTCCACTTTGTTGACAATAATTATGTTAATTTTTATTAATACTTTTTAAATTATATTTTTGTAAATATGATATACCGCGGGTGTATCTGGGAATAGGCGCACCTCTGTAACTTTTTTATTTATAAAGATAGACTCATGAAATTTAGCATGGTTAATTAGGATATAAAATTCCACTTATAAGAGTACAAAATGAATTTTTTTAACTTCCGGTTTCGCCGGAAATGGTACCAACTTTCGATTTTTAAATGGAATGCCCTATATATTTTTACATATTTGGAATCCTGAGGAAATTGTGAGTCAGACAGCATCCTCAAATTGACCTTTTGACGTTTCGTCATCAGAAAATGTATCATCATAAAGATCAATCTAGAGTTCTTTGAACTATAGTTCAGATATATCTTATTTTCTTCTAATGGATTCACACAATGCCTGAAAAATGGAACTTTCCTTAGAAAGATGTTATTCAGCTATTCCCAGCAGTCTAAACTTGTCAAATTTTGTATTTCTCAAATAGTTCAAAGCACTCTAGATTGATCTTTATGATGATGCATTTTCTGATTACAAAACGTCGAAAGGTTAATTTAAGGATGCTGTCTTACTCAGAATTTCCTCAGGATTCCAAATATGTAAAAATATATACGGCATTCCATTAAAAAATCGAAAGTTGGTATCATTTCCGGCGAAACGGGAAGTTAAAAAAATTCATTTTGTACTCTTATAAGTGGCATTTTATATCCTAATTAACCATGCTAAATTTCATTTGTCTATCTTTATAAATAAAAAAGTTACAGGGGTGCGCCTATTCTCAGATACACCCGGTATTTTATCAACAAAAACTTCAAAAGGGAATTTTGGGTTATAATAGGGAATTTTTAGAACCGTCATGGGGAATTTTAAAGAAAATAGGTTGGCAACACTGGAGACAGGTAACCCGTCACGGGTTTTGCAATTTAGTAGTGTCACCGGCGTGTGGTCATGTCGAAGTTTGCTCTGGATTATTAATACGAATTAAGCATTATTAAAGTAATTTACTTTTAAAAATGATTCAGATACTTAAAATGTAACTTAATCACTTTTAAATTATTAATTCAAAGTGTAAAATCATTATTTGTTTTGCATTTAACTAAAAGTGTTTTCTTATAAAAAAAAAACGTTTAAACATAACAATCCTCTTTAAAAACTAAAATAAAATAATTCTCTTGAAAACAAATTAAAATAAATAAATCAATTCTTTTAAAACAAAACTAAAAATCAAACTTCTTAAAATAAATGAAAATAAATAAATAAATTAATTAGTTTAGACCTTTGGATAACGTTTGATAACTGAGAATAGGTCTCTTGTTTGACGTAGACTATTTCCCTCGTCTTAATTTCCACCAATCACAAACGCGCAATTTTAAATTACAAATGGTTTCTAAGTGAAAAAACTGTGTGACAGCACCTGTCAGCAGTTTATTCGAGTTTACCCGCGGCAAAACTTGACAGCTGTTGTCACCAAAAATTGCAATTTATATTTTAATTGTTAACTGTTACTCATGAAATAGTCTTGTCAAATACCATTCGGGCATCTAATTTTTCCTGTGAAAAAAATCGAAAAAACACAATGCTAAGTAATATTTTTTAACAAAATGCATTCGTGCAGGTGCAAAAATCCTCCTCTTCGACTCGGATTTTTGTTGCCACCAGCACTCATGCTTTTTGTTAAAATATTACTTAGCAACGTGTTTTTTCGATTCTTTTCGGAAAAATTAAATGCCCTTATGATATTACTTACGATAATTTTCCACTAAAGACCAGCTTATCATGTCAATTTTCTCTTGCAATGTGCAGGACATTAAAACTTATAATTTTAAATAAAAGAAATTAATTTATGTTAAAACGCTCGAAATACACACTAGAAAATGCAAAAAATAACTAAAACGTCGCCTAACAGGCGACGCCTACGGCAATCCGCTTACAATGCATCTGGGGTGGGGCGATCGGGTTCACTCGGGTTTACTCGACTGTATATGTTTCAAATGATAATGCGGTATACGAGGGGTGACTATAATGATCATTAAAATCGGGAGAAAGTAAGGTTATAATAAATTTTGTCATAAATGAAATTTACTTAATTGGAGTAGAAAAAGCATAGCTCGAAATAATGCGGACTCATCTTCTTGAAAAATACCCTGCATTATCTCTCGTATAATAATATACATAATGTACTATTAATTACGCGTGCGACCTTCGTTTCTACTATAGGCAAGAGTAAACAGACCATGGTCTATGCATAGTGTAGGAAGAAAATATTTTTTGACGACTCTACCCTGTATATATGTATAAGTCAACCAGTTATGCGTTGACATGATATTTTTAGTATTTATAATTGTTGCCTTATAAGAATAAATAAAAAAAATTGTTGAGGTTTTGAGGTTTGAAAACACCAAAACGGTTAAAATCTTATGCTTACAAAATTGGTGGTTGGCCAAATTGAACAGAATTTTTACTCACTTGTCATTTTACCTGTATAATAACGAAGAAATATACATGTATTTCCTATTTAAATATCTTGGTTACCTACATGTATTAAAATTCAATTGGAATTAAAGATAATATGACTAAATAAATTTAAATATTATATTTCATTGGCACATGCTTTCAAATGAAAGCATAGGTAATATCCTGACAAAGTCTTTTATTGGCATTACTTTTCATATAAATATATTTATAGTTTAACTATAGTTTTTTCTTTAGGAGTAAATTAACTTTTACCCTGTACAAATGATTATTGGCATGTGCTCATTCGCTGTAAATAAATGGATTTTCAGTGGGGAGACATACGATATGAGCAATGAACTGGGCAAGTATTGGATTACAGGGTATTTTTTTCAAAATACACGACAAGAGACACATACCATTGAAATTACCAAGCAAATAGTTACTTTATTTAGTTAGTTTCACTTATAACAAAATAAACTGATACAGATAATATATATTATTTAAATAGTAAGATAAACTGCATAAGAATCACTTTAATTTATTGCCTATTTGTTTGTAACAGTAGGCTTAGGGATTGTTAGACATGTGTATTTAATTTTTCGTCGAGTGACTAGATTTTAAGATGAGTGACGAAAAGTTACCGTTGCTGCAGAAGGCGAAGTCCATAGAAGAATCCAATGATGAACAGGTAAGTTCCTTTAATGTATTATTTTTTTAATTTAATTTAAGTTTACCTTTTTAAATTGACATAAACATTAAACGTACCGCTTTTCACGATTTTTATATAAAAATAGACAATTTCAAGGATCCCGAAGAGATCGAACCTTTAAGGTTTAAAATTTGAGAAAATCTTACTTACTTATGAAGGGTTGACCAGTAAGAACTTCACAAGTAAATAAAACGACTTTGGTTAAATGGAAAAAAGCAAATGGTTTTATTTAAGAGGGGGTATTTTATGAAATTTATTATTTACACAAAATACCATTCCAGTTTTTCTTGGAGGTTTTTAAAGTGGGCCGCCCAGGGTTTACAGTGGATTAGTAATTAGCTTATATATTCCACAAATATTAGCCAATTTTAAAAAACAAAAATGTTTTGAAATAATATTTTCATGCTGTACATCATGGTCTTTTTTATTTGTTTATATCTTTAAAAACACTTTAACCTTAAATTGACCATTTTTATTTTATTTATTTTTTTGTAGTTTTAAGGTTTAAGTATCTTAAGTCGATTCCCACATAGCCTTGAATGGGACGAATTAAGCAATAACTTCCACAAAGGTCAAAGTGTGGTTGTGTTATAACACGTACTATTTGCTTGAGTTGGGTTCGGGGCAGATATCTGCCCCCTATATAGGTGGCAGGTTTGACGATTTTTGCCTCCTAGAATATGGTATATCTTTATTAGTTTAATTGTACATTTACATGAGTTTTAAAACAAGACTCAATAATGTTAACACTTTTACCAAATTAGTTAACTAGTTAGGTAACTAAATTTACAAAATTCGACAAAGTATTTTTACCACTTTTTCTATGGTAAAATTTTGTGCTGATTCCAAATTTAACAACTATCAGAAAGTTTAAGTGCTTATTAATTAATTAAACAATTGTTTATTTTTAATTTACACGACTGCACAGCAAACGGAAAATTATAGAGGTGTATAGGATGACGCCACGTTTGAATATCGATTTCTAAATCTCCCTACGGTATAGAGTTGTATTCGTCAGTCGAGCGTTTCAATACTCTCCACAGTATAGAGGTCGTAATTTCACTTTTGAACTAGTATTAATATAAAAATTATTTTATGCTTAAAAAAAACTTTATACGACATGATTGTGATTTTTTCATTTTATTAATTAATTAAGCTGTGTTGAATATTTTTCCTAAAGGAATAATTGCCAATGGGCCATTAATTCATTTGTTCGTAGATGCTACAATAACCTGCACTGGTGTGTACTTTTTCATCAACCAGATTTAAATATTACAAAATTAACATATACCAGTGGAGATGGTGCAGGGTCTACCAACAGACCTAATTACTAAATTATTAAAGTTTAATAGCATATCGATCATTTTTCAACATAACCTCTTAAATTTTTAATACAAATATAGGTACTTTATATAATACATAAATATACTTAACATCATATCCTCTGTGCTTTACATACCTGAGTTGTTACGGTAAATAAAAATCAGACAAAGGAACCAAAGAAAGGAACTATTTTCAACAAAATCATATGGAGAAATGAGAAAATTCATCCATCAAAAGATCAAAACTTCTTGCAATATTACACCCTCTTTTTATACTCTCATAAATATTGACTAGAACAGTATTAGAGAGACTCCAGTTTCTATAACTTGGTAGAGTAAAGAGAAGTCGAAACCGTTGCGATATTGCATTGCGCTGTTTTTGTATAATTCTCGGGGACATTAACGAAAATCATTGCCAGTAAAATTCGAAAAGCTTGAGTTTCTATGTCTCTGAGGAGAATATGAATCCGAAGTTGCTGCACCATTGGACTAAACCCTTTTTTAATAATTTCTAGAGACATATATGACTGCACCATTCGACAGGGTCGAGTTTCTACTCCTCTGTTGAATATAGAAAATCAAAATAATGTATCTTGTAAGACACCATTGAGTTTGACTTTAAATATAGTCGTGCATAGGTATAGAGCCGAAAAATATAAAAACAAAGCACGATTCAATACAGTTATGATAAAACTTTAAGATTTGATATTCAAACGCGGAGTCATCCTATACACTTCTATAATTTTTCGTTTGCTGTGTGTGTAGCTCCAATAATAACGGATAATAGTAGCAATGGTGAGATAACTTTAGACACGGTGTATATTATATAATATATATATTATATATATATATATATATATACAGGGTGTAGTACGGTCGATGGTAGGTTAGAAGTTTATGGAGAACTGCAAAAGGTATCGAATTGAAATTTTTAAATTAAATTTTTAAATGGATCACCACAATTTTTTTACATTTTCATCATTCTTTATGAAATGGCTACATCATGTCCTATACCTTAACTTTTTAAGTTATAACTTAATGTGTAAATACATTATTTTTGTAAAATTTGGTCAGTTTCACCTTTAACAAAAAAGCTTATAACTTTTGTAATATTAGGTTTGCTGATATTCAGTTGGAGTTATTAAAATCCTGAAGCATTGTTTTAAAGATTTCATGTAATTTATTGCAATATTTATAAAAAGATACTTAAAAAGAAAACAATCTGAATGTACAATGTAGCTAATTTAAAACAGCAATAATTATTTTCAATGGAACGCCCTGTATATTTTTACATAATTAAATATGAAATTTTAATACCCTTTCATTGATATGACTAATCTCTATACCTAAAGTTAATAATACCAAAGTTATTTTACAATTACCTTAATAATATGAAGAAAGGAAAACTAATAAAATTTTGCTCATGTGTATTAATTTGGTATGAAAAAAAAATTCCTGATATTTATTATTATTAAAATAAAGGAAAATAACTACTCAAGAGAAGTTGATGAAAATATTTATTCTTAATGTGGTCTTAATGTATATTATACATTGTATAATGATAACCAAATTAAAAAATTCAATTTAATATTTTTTGCTGCTCTCCATAAACGTCTAACCATGATACACCCTGTATAATACTATTATTGATATTATTTTTTTATGGAATTCCGTTGTCAGAAGTAAGATTTTACATAACTTTTTGTTATCAGCTTGTATTATTAAAATGTCGTTGTGTCCGTTTTTTATTTCTTTGTAGAGCGAGGAAAGTACGGATTCGTTATCAACAGCCATCAGCTCGTTCAGGGTGCCGATTTACGGCACGGAGACCGCGTTAAGATATAGCCAGGTGCCAATTAACGAACGGATAACATACACGTGGCACGAAATAAACGTTTTTACCGACCAAAGCAAACACCGCGGCAAGAAAAAGTACATTTGCTGCGGACCCACCACCCAAGAACCTGTACCCAGAAAACAGATATTAACAAATGGTAATATAATAATAATAATTATATAATAATGGTACTTAATAAAAGGCAACTTTGAAAATTTGTATGTTCGTAGTGTGAATTAAAACAGGCAATGGTTTATTAACGAACTAAACTATTTATTTTAAATCTTAATTACACTTAAAACACTAAACACTTAACTACTAATTATTTATATATCACTACTGTTCAAGAGTCTATTTATTTGGACGTATATTTATTTATTTCGTTGCGAGTACCAAAACTTGACTGACTGCTCCATGCTGCGCTGTTCCTTATATATTCAGTGCCTACGTGACACTAGTCACGCAGGCGTCTTCTGGAATATTCCAGCGAGCTCCACACCACTCTCGATTGTTCGAGCGCTGACTCCCCGGCGATGACTCATCATTCCGAGATCACCTTTTTGTATTTTTTAAAGTAAGATTTTGACCATCAACCCCTTGCAGCTTTTCTGCCATCTTGGATTAAGGGGAAAATTCGCAAATAACTGCCGTATTTTTGATTTTATCGAAAAAATAGCTGATACCATTTTTGCCAAGAAAAATTTTCACGGTCGAATATTTTTTTGTAATTTTAAAGTAGTTAAATACACTGTGTTACACACAATTACCTAGAACCATTGAGTAAAGACACTTTACTCAATGCTAGAACTGTTATTGGAAAAATTATTTTATTCAACTCCCATTTTAATTCTTAACTTTAACCGGTGAACGAAATTTTACTTCCCCAACTAGTAGGCGAAATAGTTAAAATTTGATAAAATGTGAGGTTAAAACTAATTGACAGCTGTTAGATTTCAGATAAAGTATTAAATAAAATTGGCTTTAAATTCTTTGTGGTTGTTAAATAAAATATTGTGTTCGACTATGAGTCAAAAGAGGAGATTACTCGCGTGTTACCTCCTCGCTTGAGGAATCTCCTTTTTCTCCCATTTTATTTATTATCTTCAACCGATGGGCGATATTTTACTTCCTCCACTAGTGGGCGAAATAGCATTTCGCCCACGGGCTGAACTTAGCTTTAAGTTAAATTTGGAAAATAGTGAGGTTAAAACTAAATATTAAAAATGGTATCGGCTGTATGGTATATATAATCATTATATTATGTTTTTGATTTAAATGTTAAATTGTTTATCCTACATTGTAAAAATAAAATGTTCTGTAGTCTGTGAAAGTTTCCTATAAACTGTAGCAAATAAACATATTTTCTTTAATGTATACATTTAAAAAATTAAAAACGTTTTAGTTTATACAGGGTGTTTCACATTCGTGGTCTATTAAAAGTTTCTGGGGAACAAAAAATTATATCGATTTGATATTTTAAAGGCGTCTATAATCCACTTAGGTCTATATTTATAAAATATTTTAAAAGAAATGCCACTTCCGGTTTAACCGAAAGTGACATCAACTTTGTTATTTCAAATAGAATACCCAATATATTTTTACATTTTTAAATTCTGTATAAAATTCAGAGTAAAATTACCATACCATGCCCTATACCTAAAGTGAATAGTTTTCGAGTTATCAATTTAACAAATGCGCGTCTTTCCTGGGTTGCCCGCAGGTAATTTGTTGAAAAATGTTAAATAATTAACAAGGAATCTTGTAAACAACGTTTTAAGATTCCAAAAACTCCACCCCATTCGCAAACCCAATAACAAAAAAGTTATAGCTATTTTTCATTGACACGCATTACTCAGAATTTTATGTAGAATTTAATTAAAAATGTTAAAATATATGGAGTGTTTTATTTAAAATAACAAAGTTGATGTCACTTCCGGTTAAACCGAAAGTGGCATTTTGTTCAAAATATTTTAGAAAAATAGACTTAAATGGATTTTAAACGCTTTTAAAGCTTCAATCGATATCTTTTTTCGTTCCCCAGAAACTTCTAATAAACCACGTATGTAATAATATTAAACCTAAAAATATGGATAAAAAAGATTAGCTATAGCTATAGGTGCGCCTGAACGAAGTTTAGGTCACATAAAAATGCCGCCAAAAACTGATTGCAGTTTCTTGTTCGGGACCCTTTGGTGACTTAAAAATGATATTTACCAAAATCCTAGCTGCTCCTCTTTTCGAATTTTTTTGAAAATTTTTGTTTATTTCAAAGTCTACCTTTGACAAAGTACACATTTGTACACCGATTTTTATAAAATTAGAGTATATTATTGAGGAGACTTAAAGAATACTTTTTAATACTGTTCACATCATTTGATATATACAGGGTGAGACAAAAATCGCTTATTTTTAATAAATTAAAAGCGTAAGTTCATGATTTTGGCATAACACGCAAAAAAGATTTATCCCCATTTTTTTTAATATTTCTACGTTTATCAGGTTACAAAATGGCATTCTTATTAAACTTTTATAAAAAAATAGATTTTTAATAAAAATAAATAAAATAACGCTTAGAGATTATTTAAAATGTTGTTTTATTTAGGCTTTTTAGTAGTTTTCAATTTTGAACGAAAAATTAAAAAAGTTTTTTGATCGGCACTCTTTGGAGATTTAAAAACGATATTTACCAAAATTCTAACTGCTTTTTTAAATTTGTTGAAAAATCATTTTTTTATTAATAATTATTTGTTTATCGCAAAGTCCACCTTTGCCAGAGTACTCATTTGTACATCGATTTTTATAATATTGGAGTATATTGTTAACGAGACTTGGAGAATACTGTTTTCATACTGAGCACATCATTAGGTTTATACAGGGTTAGCCAAAAATCACTTTTTTATATAGTAAAAAGCATAATGCACAAAAAAGATTTATCTCCAAAAAATGTTATTTTATTTAATTTTATTCAAAATCAATTTTTCTTATAAAGTCTTAATAAGAATCCCATTTTGTAGACTAAAATAAAAATATCTTAAAAACATGGGTGGGTATATATCTTTTTTGCGTGTTATGCCAAAATCATGAATTTACGCTTTTTCTTTATTAAAAGAAGCGATTTTTGGCTAACCCTGTATATATTAAATGATGTGCACAGTATAAAAAAGTATTCTCCAAATCTCCTTAACAATACACTCCAATATTATAAAAATCGGTGTACAAATATGTAGGTACTCTGTCAAAAGTAGATAAACAAAAATTAAAAAAAAATGAATTATCAAAAAATTTTGAAAAGAGGAGCAGCTAGGATTTTGGTAAATATCATTTTTAAGTCACGAAAGGGTCCCGAACAAGAAACTGCAATCAGTTTTTGACGGCATTTTTATGTGACTTAAACTTCGTCCAGGCACACTGAGAGGATTAGATCTCATTTTGCTCATATTTTTAAGTTGCACAATTTTCTTAGCGCAAATTTAATTTTAAAAACAAATACGGTGCTTTCATGGAGAATAAAATAAAAATAAATCATTGTTGAAAATAAAATAACAGGAAATAATAAAGCGAAATTATTTTTATGTTTTTGTATGTTTTTGTATGTATTTGATTGGAATTTTTGTGCGTAGTGAGTGGAGTGGCTCATCCTGGCGAATTATTGGCAATCCTCGGGTCGAGTGGTTCCGGAAAGACGACATTGCTGAACGCATTAAATTTTAGATCGAGCAGCAGCGTCGCCGTTCAGGGGACGCGCTGCGTCAACGACGTCCCCGTGGCGTCGACCTCATTGACCAGCCGTTCCGCCTACGTGCAACAGGACGACCTCTTTATCGGCACCTTGACTGTCAAGGAGCATCTTGTTTTTCAGGTAAAATGCCCCCTCGTAGACCAGTGCAGAAGCCTTTAAAAATGGTAAAAAGAGAAAAAAAATTACAGTAGGATGAAACCCATTGGAAAAGGAGGGGAATATAATAAAAATTAAAGGAAAAATAAATTACGGGCGATCTGAGTTCGGGAAGTGGGAGGGGGGGGGGGGGTTTAAGGGTAAAAAATGGTTTATCTCGATTTCCGGCAAAACTACAAGTCCTATGGAAAAAAGTTAAATGTCAAAGTTGTAGGTAATAAAAAGATCTACAACTTTTTTATTTACAATTTTTTCACATAACCTCAAAATTTATGTGAAAAATTCAAAAAACCAAGTTTTTGGTTTTTTATTTTTATCTTTTTCAAAAAAAAAAAATTTCACACGAAATTTGGTGAAAACTTACCTTTTTATGTCCCAAATACACTGTAATTTATTTGATTTGAAATATTTATTATTTCGCCTTATTTTGACTTCAATCTAATCTAATTTTCAATCGAAAATTCTCGCGTCAAAATATCAGCTTTTTTCAAAAAGTCGGTGTGCTTTTTGTTTGTTGAAATCTCTACTTTCTGATGGTGTAAAAAAATATATACATTACTATGGTAAATGTTCTCAGAAAATGCAAAAAATATTATAATGAATAACGTGATCAGAATGAAGTATTTAAATTCAATAGTATGATTTACATGTATTTTTATATTTTATGAGATTTTCTGACATAAATGTTATTAGAATTTAATAAATAAACTTTTTAACTAAAAAAAATTGCAACAATCACATTTTTTTGATGAAATTGTACATAATGATTAAAATAAATTTTCGAATTCGAGTTTTTTCGTTATTCATTATAATATTTTTTGCATTTTCTGAGAACATTTACCATAGTAATGTATATTTTACACCATCAGAAAGTAGAGATTTCAACGAACAAAAAGCACACCGACTTTTTGAAAAAAGCTGATATTTTGACGCGAGAATTTTCGATTGAAAATTAGGGTGCTTTTTTGATATTAAGTCAAAATAAGGCGAAATAATAAATATTTCAAATCAAATAAATTACAGTGTATTTGGGACATAAAAAGGTAAGTTTTTACCAAATTTCGTGGAAAAAAATTTTTTTTTGAAAAAGATAAAAATAAAAAACCAAAAACTTGGTTTTTTGAATTTTTCACATAAATTTTGAGGTTATGTAAAAAAATTGTAATTACAAAAGTTGTAGATCCTTTTATTACCTACAACTTTGCCATTTAACTTTTATCCATAGGACTTGTAGTTTTGCCGGAAATCGAGATAAACCATTTTTTACCCTTAAACCCCCCCCTCCCACTTCCCGAAGTCAGATCGCCCGTAATTTATTTTTCCTTTCATTTTTATTATATTCTTCTCCTTTTCCAATGGGTTTCATCCTACTGTTATTTTTTTTGGTTTCAAAAATTATCGACCCTGGTCTATCGGTCATATTTGGTAAAAATTAATTTGCAAACAATTTTTTATAATCGATGAAATTTAATAACACTGGTCCCATTTTTTGCAAAGTGGAAACTTGAAATATGATTTCTTTGTTGTAAAAACCAGAGCTGGGCACGAGTACTAAAAAAAGTATTCGTAAAAATTTAAGTACTTCAAATATTTACTCGTAGGTACTTTACTCGTAAAGAGAGGTTACGGTTACGAGTAGTAATCGTGAAAACACGGGTAAAGAGTACGGGTACTTTAAAAATCATATCAAATGACAAATCAACTTAAAGGAAGTTGACTGTAATATTAAAAATAAACTTGACCTAAGTATAAGAAAACTAAGGGGTTAAAACAAACTACGTGCAATTTCGTAATGAATAGCGTTCAAAGTTCATGTGGCATAACCACTGTTGATGGGTGTTACTTTTGTTCACAGAATTGTTTTAGAAATTCCTACGCCTACGTCGTACAAGCGAAAATGACTGTAAATATAGATTTTGACACGCGGGTTGTTTTGTGTGCCATTTTCACAATTTTTATTTGATTGCATTATAATTTTTATACAATAAAATAAATAAATAAAGCTACACAATTTAAAAATAATTTTTTAAGGGACTTACTTTATGAATGTGTATATATAGGTATATGGGGTATTCCATACCAAATCGACCACTTTTGAACCCAACCCCTTTAGATTTTGCTGAAACTTTTCCATCCTTTTCTACCCTTTGAAAAACATTTTTGAAAATTTTTTCAAATTTTTTTGTCCAACCTCAAAAAAGTTATGAATTTTAAAAAAAAATGGCTTTTTTATTTTCAAATAGCCATAACTTTTTTAGAAATTGACTTTTGGGTACCTTTTTTTTTAATTTTTGTTTTTGAATGAACTTTTCAAAAAAATACACGAAAAAATACACGAAAAAAATTTAACATGATCAATTATATAAAATAATCGTTTTTTTTTAGTAAAATCGTCATTTTTTCGAAGTTCGCCATTTTTTTTTTTGTTTTTTTTTTCTCAAAAAAAACTTCAATTAATTTGACAACTATCCCCGCTAATCCCGGAGTGGGCCGATTTTTTTTTGTATTTTTTTAATTTATTTAAAAAAAAATTGTCAAAGAAAATTCGACAATTTTTTTTAAATAAATAAAAAAGTTATGGCTATTTGAAAATAAAAAAGCCATTTTTTTTTAAATTCATAACTTTTTTGAGGTTGGACAAAAAAATTTGAAAAAATTTTCAAAAATGTTTTTCAAAGGGTAGAAAAGGATGGAAAAGTTTCAGCAAAATCTAAAGGGGTCGGGTTCAAAAGTGGTCGATTTGGTATGGAATACCCCATATATATTTTTTGTTAAATGACCAATGATCCTTGGTTAAAAACTATTTGATTATAAAAGTATATTTTCTCAATATCTCGAAAACAAAGCATCAGCGCACCCAAATTCAATTGAAGGGGTCAATGCAAGAAGTGCCTTAGTCACATTTTCAATAAAATTGATTCAGGTGATTCTGAGATATTGCGGTTTGAACGTTTATTTTTGATTATGAAATATTACACAAAATATTATCATGAAAATGTGTGTTGTATTGTATTCTTTGTGAAAAGTAAATGGGACATGATTAAAAAAAATTGCGAAATTAAGGGATTGAGGAAAAATTTGTGTATACTTAAAAAAAAGTTTACTATATTATAGATTCGTAAAAAAATATATAAATTGTGAACAAAACTTAAGACTAAGACATAACTTAGGACATAACTTAAAGCAAAACTAAGAAAATAATAAGAAGGCTGGCTGTTCATACACAGCGTCCGCCCCTTGTAACTGATCAATTTCTTTATCAATGACATCATTTTGCTGGTATAATCCATTTTCAGACAAGGTTAGAGCAAAAAAAACAGTAACTGATATGTTTTAAGGTTCCACAATCTATTTTATTTTACTTTACTTACCTGCCATAGTTGTGTTTTTAATCACAGACACAAATTATTTTTGGATTTACACAGTTTAATAGGTAATTTGCTCAGATATAACCTAATTTAAATAACGTGGACTAAGGCACATGTTGCATTGCGTCTGTCAAAATGATGACTTAAGTCATCTAATTTGGTACTTCTTGCATTGAAAACCAGGTAAACTCCCATTGAAGTAAATGCAAACTAAGGCACTTAGACACATATTTCTGCCACTATGCAAATACCACCTGAAAGCTGAAGTGAAACACTTTTAGATAGCACCACAATGTCAATTTTATTGAAAATGTTACTTAGGCACTTCTTGCAATGACCCCTTCAATTCAATTTACAAACTGTACCAACTTATTTTTAAAATCCATAATCTTCAACTTTTGGGAAATACCTTTACTAAGGTTGCCAGGTTTCAAAACTGAATTTACTGGAAAAAATCATTTTTTTAAAACCACACTGCGTCCGAACCCGTTATTTTTAATTAATTAACCTGGTTTATCTTTTTTTTTGGTTATGCTACCTACTTGCCGTAACATTTTATAAATCTTCAAACAATATTGGCATTTTAATACAAAACAACGATTTACGAAATAATACACCATAAAAAATATTTATCAATTACTTGCAGTCTTTGGCCATAAACATATGTTCTAGATATCTCGGGATCTTATATATCAAATTCAAAGTAATTTACAGAACCATTTTGACTTTAGTCGAAGTTACTAACAATATTTTTAAATTGCCAATATTGGGTCAAAAATATATTTGTGTTAAACTGATTCCTAATTGTGACTAAATTGTGATCCCATGGTGCATTGCGATCCCAGTGGTGCAACACTGTTAAAGCATGTCCTATTTTTTTGTAATTTACTTTTAATATATATACCCACTCATATAAAGTTTGTTTTTAATGATATTAAGTAAAATTAAGCAATAATATGAATAGAATAATGCGTGGGGATATGTTATAATTGTCTGATTTATTTTTGTATACAAATTTTATTGTGCTTGGCCGATTTAGTAGTCTAGTGGAATTTTTATGTTTTACTCGATAGAGTGGCTGCGGGTAGTTCATTTAGATGAATAATTAAAATGATAATACTTTGAAACCAATTTTGGGCACCTGCTGTTCTTTATAATATTTAGTCAGATGTCGAAATTAAACGATATACATATATCCGATATACGAGCCCTGTCTCAGTGAAGTTGGCCCAACTAACAAAAATAGATTTTTGAAGATATTTAGAATATTATACGGTAATTAATTAAAATTAACACATTATTTTAATTAAATAAATAACGTTTATTAAATTTTCTACCGTTAAATTGTATTTTTAAGTACCTAATAAAAAAATATTTAAAATTCTCTTATATTGTCCGTAAACCAAAAATTAAGAAAAAAAAATATTTTAAATAAATACATTTTAATTGGAAACTACCACTGCGGAACATCTCCTTTATGGGTTATTACTGCCTGTATACGTCTCGGCATGGTGTCAACCAATTTTTGACAATCATCCGGCGTAAAATTATTCCAAATTTCTTCCAGGCGAGCATGCAACTCTAAGACGGTTCTTGCGGGCTGTTCTCTGAGCTTCTTTTTCATAATATGCCAAAAAGATTCTATAGGCGAAAGATCTGGACTACTAGATGTCCATTTTAAAAGTGAAACATTATTTTCTATCATCCAAGCTTTCACTTTTTTAGCCGTATGACACGCTGCGCCATCTTGTTGGAAGATGCATTCAATATCATTTAAACGCATTTCTTCAATTTGCGGTTTTAAGTTATTTTTTAGGACGTAAATATATTTATCAGCATTCATAATGCCCTCTACAAAGTGTAATTTACCGATCCCTTTAGCTGACATAGATCCCCAAATCATCACAGAGGCCGGAAACTTTACTTTTTTCTTAAGACAGTCATTGTGAAAGACTTCTGCTTTAGTTCTAATGACTCGGCTTCGATTATCACCAACGCAAACTTCAAATCTAGCTTCGTCACTCCATATAATTGAATCCCATTGATTTTGACACCAAGTCCTGTGCTCTTTTGCCCAGAGAAGTCTATTTTTCTTCTGTTTTTTTTGTCAATGAAGGTTTTTCCTTTGCCTACAGATAGTAAAATTAAAAATAAATAAAAATCGTATACATTATAAGCAAACCTTGTAAGTTTTAAACCCAAGTTTTTGAGCAGCTCTATGACAGGTTGCTCTTGAAAAACATTTACTCGTTGCCTGATCCCACAAAACTTTTAATTCACCGTAATTAGCCCTACGATTTTGAACGATAATTCTTCTTAAAGCCCTTAAATTTTTATTAGAATAGTGAGGACGACTTCCATTTTTTGGTTTCTGCGCCACAGATCCTGTAGTTTTGTGCAGTTTAATAATATTTCGCACTGTATATCGTGACAAATTAACAGTTTCAGCGATTTGTGCAGCGGATTTTCTTTTTAAATGCAAGTGAATTATCACTTTTCTTATTTATTCAGAAACAGCCTTTCCTCGGGACATTATTATTTGTCAACCACACCTAAAGCATAAATATATACTGGAATGTCACTACCGACTTGCTTACAATTATTTAAATGTCAAATATTATCTTTAATTTTAGCACAGCCGACTTGCATTAAAAAATCTGGCCATCCAAGTTAATGCATTTTTGTCGATTTCTTTGTATTGTAACCAAACATCCAACTTAAAACTAAATAATATACATACACATATTTTTTAAAAAATTAGACAACATGAAGATTGACCAAGAATTACATATGATAAAAAATTGTTGGCTTTTCATCGCATAAAATTACAAATTTTATATTTTGAGTGGTTGGGCCAACTTCACTGAGACAGGGCTCGTATATCAACATCTTGATATCAAATCGGCCGCGAAAAACGGACATGTTGTGGATTTTACAGCATAAACAATGGAAAGTACCGAGTACCTTTGTTTTAGAATATTTTCAAAATTAAAAAGAGGAAAATTAAAAAAAAAATCCACCATAGGTACCTTTTTTCAAGCTGAATTTCTGTAAAAAAAGTATTTAAAAAGTATAATAAAACTAAAAATAAATTTATATCTATTTATATTTATTTGTATTTTAAAAATTTAAAAAAAATCCTACTCATAGTCCTAAGATTTGCGCAATTTTTGAGTATTCATTTTTTTGCGACCTCGAAAGAAGTTAGTGGCAATTTTACCTGCGCACAGTGGCTAATTTTCCTAAAAAACTGGCCGAAATTGAAAAAAAAATTCCAAATTGTCAAGTATACTTGATGATATTATGTGATACTATAGTATCACATAATATCATTCAGGGGGCACCATTGTGTATTGTCAAAAAAGTCCATATATATGTATTTAAAGCTAGCGCAGGTCAGAAATGACTCGTCTCGGAGAGAACATTTAATTCGGAATAAACGCGACTCGAAAATCTTTGGAACATACATTTTTCGCTGTGGCTCCCGTCCCGAGGCGGGACTTAAGTTCAGTCCCGATTGACGTCATAATTTTAAGATTTGTTATGTTATAATAAAATAATAATAATAAATTGTACCTGTATACATGTTAAGGGCACTTTAGTTACGTCATAAAACCAAACCAACCCAAACTCAACAACACAACCCAACCGACCCCGCCCCATTGGGCCCCCCCCCCGCCCCATTGAGCAAAAAACCCAACTAAAATGGGCAAATTTATGTTACGATAAAAATAAAACACTTTTTAACAAAGAAACAACAAATTTATAAAATAAAAAAAATAAAAAAAGTTTGACAACTTCTAGTGGGATCGAACCCGGTACCTCTCGCATGCCAAGCGACCAAAATTCCAAATTCCAAATTCCAAATTAGTTTATTTAACAATAATACATAATAAATTTTAATCAGCCTAACTATAAAGGTATAAAGGTACAAGGTATATATAAAAAGGGAATTTATAGAATTTAAAAAATTTTGAGAGTTAATAAATTTTGAGGTAATCCTGACAAGAGTACGTGGTCGAAAGGGGGTGAATATAAAATTGAAAAAAAAAGAGTGAGTGAAATGTTGAATTTTGAGGTGACAAGAAGGTTAAAACGTAAGTAATTAACCTCCCTGTGCGAACTTTATACCGCATAGAGGCCCAGATTATCGTAATTGATCAGTGCTGTTCCACTTTTACTCGCATGGCGATTTTGGGGAAGATACTCAGTAAAAAATTTTAGAAAAGTAATGGAAGATAAGGTGAAGTAATGAATAAATAAAATAGTGAGTGATTTGAAGGAAAAACAAATTAGAAAAAACCTTCTTAAAAGTAATGATATATTTTTTAAAAAAGAAGAAAGAAGGGATAGTACACTGAAAGAAATTTGTTGCTAAAAGTAAATACAAATTTATACTAAAAATTTTATACTAGTGCTTTACACATTTATACTACTGTTTATTATGAATGTATGGTAAATTTTGTAATACATTTATTGTAAAGAAGATATGTTAGATCTAAATAAAAATAAACTTACCCTTACTATAAAATGTAAACTATAAGTGAATTACAGCAAAAAAATATTGCTAGAAACACCATTTATATTGCTAGGGCAGCAATAGGCTGCTAACCAAACGAATATATTTGTTTTAGCAATGTATGTGGTAGTCTATATATGAAACATAAAATATATTTGCCCTAATTATTTTTTTATTTAACTTTAGTATATATTTCTTTCAGTGTACAAGAGGAAAAAGAAAAATTTTAAGTGCCGAATATGTCTAGGAAAAATTTTGAAAAAACCTAAATATGAATAAATGAGGAAAATTAAAATTAATAAAAAACCTCGCTGTGGATGGTAGTTTTTGATTTAGAAGCAAGTGCGACCGCCCTACCATCTAAGCCATCGAGCTTGACACAAATTATAAAATCTCGGGGAATAAAAACCGATTTACAGTGTGTGACGTCAATCGGGACTGAACTTAAGTCCCGCCTCGGGACGGGAGCCACATCGTACATTTTTATATATTTGGACCAATCAATTCAATTTAAGCAGTACAAGTCCGCCATTTTGTGAAAAAAAATATTATAAAATTTGGAAAGAGCGACTTAAAAACCCTTTTACAAAAAATTTCGATCAAATCGGGTTACTTAATCCGTCTTTTCAGTACACGTCCGCCATTTTGAATTTTGAGAAAATATTGGCATTTTTTAAAAACGTTACCCAAGAAACCCCAGTACACAAAGTTTGGCTTAAATCAGACAATGTTTAGATCTTTGGCCAGTTTTCCGGAAAATTGGCCACTGTGCTGTGTTAATAATTATTGCGAAATATCCCTCTGCAATTGAAAAAAACATACTACTACCTATACCTTGGATACATTATATCTTAGTTTCTATAGTTTCTGCGGGCGAAAATATCATGGTCTTATTCATGGCGCAAACAACTTTTTTGTAAGCTTTGTGAGTCTGGATTTTTCTGCAGTTGGTACTGCAGGTGTCCCCGGATCGGATAGCTAATAGGAAAAACTTTTATATCGTGAGTTGTATGAAAAAATTGCCTCTTATCAAAGACCTAAATTGGCGAAAGCCAATAGGACATTAAGACTTTATATTTCAACGCGTGATCCATCTGAAAATCTCAACCATCTTGCCATGTTTAAAGTTAGAGTTTACGCGCCTATTTGATTCGGAATTAAAATCGATACATTTTTATAACAGGCAATGCGCGGGTAGAAGATAAATAATTTAAATTTATTTTTAAATCCTCTAGGAATAAATTAAAATTTGCAACAATATATATCTATTTATTAAAAATACAATTGTATTTGTATTGGATTTAAATCCAACAGGCTGATGCTCAATTATAGGATAGGTTAAAACAATATAATAGTAAGAAAAACATGATAAAAAATACATAAAGATCTAAATAATATTTGGCAACATTCTCAATAAGCTATTATAACTACAAGAGAAACTTTGTTTCCATAGTAAGTAATACAATTGAAATAAAGGTGACATAATAAACATATTGATACTGGTCTTTGCAAAGACTTACCATGGTAAGTAAAATAGATCGCAGTTTCTAGTTGCTCTTAATGAAATTTTTAACAAGAAAGCCGAATTATCAATTTTACTATTTAACAACATTTAGCTTAGTCTCTTAAGGTATGTTAAATGTTTACTCTTTCAATTAAGTTAATTTTGTTTTTATAAAAAGGTGACCAAACTAAAGCACAATATTTAAGTTTAGACAATACATATAAATTAAATAATATCTTGATAGCTTTAAGTTCCACAAAATCACGTGAATTTTGCACAATAAAGCCCAAAGTTCTCAAAATATAAATTTTATAAAGAATAACTTCATATAGGTACTAACAAAATTTATTATATATATATTTAATACAAAATTAAAAAAAATATTTTAAAGAAACTGGAACAAAACACAAACACGGACCAAGTCACATCTGCACACTAAGTAAGCAGAATATAAAAAAATATTCTGGTATTTTTTTCTCTTCCAGTAATATCTTTATTAATACCAATTTTTTTATATTAAAGGCATTGTTAAGAATGGACAAACATATCTCCTATGAGCGGAGAATGCATAGAGTCGATGAAGTCATATCAGAGGTAAAATAAAATTAATTTACAATAAAATAGTAAGTAGAAAATTAACAAATATTATACATAAAGTTAGCACTGACAAAATGCCGCAACACCCGGATAGGCACCCCAGGAAGAGTGAAAGGCATTTCAGGAGGCGAACAAAAACGTCTCTCATTCGCATCGGAGGTACTCACAAATCCAGCCCTGATGTTCTGCGACGAGCCCACGTCAGGGCTGGACTCGTTCATGGCACTGAACGTGGTGCAAGTGTTGAAAAGCATGGCGCAGTCGGGAAAAACCGTCATATGCACAATACATCAGCCTTCCTCCGAATTATACGCAATGTTTGATAAGTTACTGCTCATGGCTGAAGGAAGAGTTGCATTTTTGGGGACTCCTGAACAGGCTGATTTTTTTTTTGCAGAGTATAGAATCTTACATAATATTTTAAGGTTTTTAGTGATAAATTTTGCTGTTTAGACTTGAGGCTCCCTGTCCAAACAACTATAATCCTGCAGATTATTTTATACAATTACTGGCAATAGTGCCTGGTCAGGAAAGTTCCTGTAGACAAGCTATAGACAAAATTTGTACCAGTTTTCAAGAATCAGACATAGGTGTGCAGATTGAGCTGAATACAGCACCTCCAGTAAGTTCATCAATTACCTTAAATGTTTTATGTCGACTACGAAAACTATATATCTATTTTCTGTCTTTACATGAAAATAGTTATTAGATTATGCCGAAATAAAAATTCAATTTATTAATAGTTATGTAGATAGATAGGTCAAAAAGTTTAATAGTAGTTTTGTAGTATATGGTGGGCAATATATACTCTCTAAAAATTAATTAGTCAAAAATGACTAATTGTCATAGCGAAAAAGCAGCCACTAATGATTCTCGTTAATAGCAATTTGTATCCAGAATATTTAGCAGTCGATTTTTATATAAAATTTTGCCCTGAATTCAAAGATGTCGTCAAAAGTTATAAAAGTAAAACCGTTTTTAAGAATTGACTATATCTCAAAAATTATTCTAATTTCATAATTTTTGACGCAGGGGACAATTTTACATAAGAATTGGGTGTTAAATGTTGGGGATACCATGGAATCTCCTGGTTAACAATGGTATAAGTGAAAAAGCAGCCACTAATAAATGTAGTAACTAGTCATTTTTAACTAATTCATTTTTAGAGAGTAACTGACCCCTTTCGGGAGAAATACCATATGGTAATTGAAAATTGAATTTTCTTAATATTAAATATTTTTATAGAACGCCATCTATAAAAAAATAGTAACCATTCTTGAGAATCTGTATTACCGGCGCGCCGGTAAAAATATTAAATTTTTGAAAATAAACTAACAACAGTTTTTCACAGTAAAAGTAAAGAAACTGAAACTTTTCAATTATTGGCGTTGAGAAACTATTTAATACTTTTATATTGAGATAATAAAATAATTTTTACATATAGTATTATTTTACAAGAAATGCACTTCATTTTAACTATTGTATGACATTTGACAACTGTCAACTAACTTAAAACTAACGTCAGCCCGTGAATAAAAACCTGTTGCTTACTTCAGCCCTTGACTAAATCGCCATAAAGCCACAACTTAAATGTGTATTTAAAAGGTCACTTAGTATCATGGAAACATGTACGATAATGAGCGTTTTAAAGGTGGGAGCAAAAAGTGTTATTGAAATTGCATTTTTAAATTTAATGGGGAACCTCTTAAACTTGAAAAAATCTGAATTTTTATTTTGGTATATTCTAAATAATTTTCATGTAGAGTAAGAGTTTTTAACGCCTTAATATTTTATAATTTTTAGAGCAAATCTACTTATGGTGACGTATGGTTTAATGGTGAAAGCCACAGTCCTTATAAGGCCTCATGGTGTTCACAATTTAGAGCTGTATTATGGAGATCTTGGTTGAATGTTATAAACGAACCACTTTTAGTCAAAGTTAGAGTATTACAGACAATTGTACGTATTTAAATAGCATTTTTTACCTATGTGCTGTATAAACATTTTTAATTCAACAAAACATTTTTTTCAGATGGTATCTTTAATTATAGGACTAATATATTTCGGCCAAATTTTAAACCAGGACGGTGTAATGAATATAAATGGAGTACTGTTTATATTTTTGACTAACATGACATTTCAAAACGTGTTTGCTGTTATAAATGTACGAAAATAAAAATTTCAACAATTATCCACATCATTAAATATTTTTAATTTAAGGTGTTTTGTTCAGAACTGCCAATTTTTCTTCGAGAAAATCGAAATGGCATGTATAGAACAGACGTATACTTTCTTAGCAAAACTTTGGCAGAGACTCCTATTTTTGTGTTTATGCCGATGATTTTTACTTCTATTTGTTACTATATGATTGGCTTGAACGGAGAAATATCCAGATTTTTTTTGGCTTGTGCCATTGTTACTTTAGTTGCAAATGTGTCCACCAGCTTTGGTAAATATGAAAAAAGAAATTTAAAACTACTATAATAGTGATAAGGTGTGGGTAAAATAATGTTTTTTTTATATTTTAACAGGACATGTACTACAGCGTATTCTAAATTTTAATTAAAAGAATACACTTTGAATTCTTTGCTTAGATAGTTGGATTTTATTAAGTAGTAATAGTAGTTTTTTTTATATTGTAATTACAAAGCTTGTGTTTCGTAGGTTATTTGATATCGTGCGCAGCCAGCAGCGTTTCGATGGCTCTTTCAATAGGGCCACCCTTGATCATCCCCTTTTTACTTTTTGGGGGCTTCTTCCTGAATATCAAGTAAGTCGATGCGCGATTTTACAGGTACGGGTTTAAAATTAATACGGCACTAAAAAAATCTTTGTGATGGGTCTAAAGACCTGAAAGATGTTCTCAAGATTGACTGTTAATTCCTGTTTTTAATATGAAATTTCTACGATTTTTGAAAAGTTAATTTCTTGTTAATACACGTATAGAATGTGCATTATTTATTAGGACCTATGCAAAATAAAAAAGTTTATTATTTTAACAAAAAACTTACGCTAACGGAGGTGATGGTGAAGTTTACTTGGAGAAAATTATTTTTCTCTTTTCACAAATCACAAAACAATAATAAAAAATGTATTAAAAAAATTGCAATAAAATGGAATCAAAAGCAAATCTCGAGATTGGACTGCTTTCAGGTTACAAAGAATAAAGAAATCACATGTGCAGTAGGAGTAGAAAGCTTTGAAAAGTGTAAAAAATCACTAAAACTGCAGTTTTAGTGATTTTTTACACTTTTCAAAGCTTTCAAACATCGAATTTTTAAATTAAAAAAAATAATCCTGCAGGTATAGATTCTTTGGGAAATTTTATGCTCTACAAGAATCCGCGACGTAAAAAATTTTATCTTAAACGGTTCAAAAGTTATAGTCTTTTTAATGAAAAAAGATTTTTTTACGTGTTAGGTATTTCAATGGAAAACTTAGAATGCTCACCGACACCTTTTAAAATTGAGCAAAAAATTTTGCCTTGCAGGGAAATTTTTTGCTCGGTATGTAGGTTTATTTTAACCCATAAATCCGATAGGTTAGTTTTTTTGGCTCACCCTAATGTGCAGTCCTTGCATGCACTCAAAATTTTATTTGTTTGTGTGGCGGTGTTTTTGATGCGATTTAAAGAGTGTTTTTTACTTTTAATAAATATTAGCAATTGTTTTGGTTGCAGCCATATCGCGATGTGATCTTTTTTTCAAAAATTTTCGATGCCTTGTCACTTTAGATTGAACCGGAAGTGACAGTTTTTTCAAATTAAAACATACAAATATTATTACATTTTTGAATTCTACGTGAAATTCTGGAATACTGAATAATTTTCCTATCTTACATTTTTTTGAGATATTCAATAAAGAGAAAGAGTGATTAACTAAACTGTATGTATTACCAACAATTGTAATGTTAACAAAAAAGTATCCTTCCAGGAGCCATTAATAATATTCCAAAAAGTTCGACAGGGTAGATTTTTACTATGCTTCGCTCAAGGATATATAAAAATGCGTAAATATTAACGATTTTGTTCTCGCTATTTCTTAGAAGACAGCAAAAGTCGAATTTTCGTTGCGCTTGTCATGAAAAATAGTGTACATATCTTGCGGCTAGAAGCGGCAATTTCTAAAAAATATGTTGCTATACTCGCTCACACTCTTCAGAAATCGTCGGCTTTCGCCACTCGACATCTAATGTTCTATTTAAATCTAATGTATTTTTTAATGTCAAAGGTCGCACGCGCATTTCTGTTTCCGTATCGGTAGCAACTTCAAAAAAAATTAATTAAAAATTATTTAAGGAGTAAAATGTCGCAAAGCAGACTAGTTTGGTAATTTTATCGATAAAAAATCAGATCATTAGACCTTCGTAAAATAATTAGGTACATTGTTTGCAAATTAAAAGGTAAAAAAAGTAGATTTTTTTGAGCATAAAAAAATTAATTCATTTAAATTTAATTTTATAATATTATTATATTATTACCTTTTTCACCACTCACCATCATTTTTTATAATACAAATTTTGGTTTCAAATTAAACTCTTTTTTTTTAAATTATTGTAAGGGGGCCGCTGTAGTCGTACACCAGGGCCCTGTAGGGGCTACTTGCTATCAAGTATATTATATTAGGTATCATGATATTATATTATATTTATTTGGTGATATTATGATAAAAAATATTAAATTAATTTGTTTTATTTTTTTTTCGCGAAAAAGTTTAAATGATTTTAATTTTACTGGTTAATAAACGAATAAAAAAACAATTATACAGGGGGGCCATTTCAGGCATGCAGACGGGACAAATGACAAAACTGTTTTTATATAAAAAAATGCTAGGTTATTTATTATATAATATTTTGGAATCAAAATTGTCAAACATATTCTTCTTTTATTAGGCTAAACGCAAGAAATATTTTATAAAAGTAGAGATAATTTTATTGATTGACAGGTGTGGACGGGACAAGATAAATCTTTTTTTGTCCCGTCCACACCTTTCAAATATATTATAAAATATTTCTTGCGTTTTATTTTATATAATGTATAGCCTAATAAAATAAGTATATTTTTGACAATTTTGATGCCAGAATATTATATAATAAATAATCTATACTTTTTTTTATAAAAACAGTTTTGTAATTCGTTCGTTTCGCGCGCCTGATATGGCCCAGGGTTTTCCAGAATATGTGGGCAATCTCCTGGATTGAGATAGAACACAAAAATATTATGACAACTGTCATTGACAAGTTCCTATACATTTTTTTTACTACGGCCCCCTCTACGGAGATACTGGCCCATAACAAACGCCGCTGAAAAAAGAAAAAACATGGAAAATTTCAAAACACTCTATTTTCAACTGATACTAACATTATTTTATCGATGACAATCAAAAGTACCTTTTTTAAAAATATTATTGTCGTGCCTTTATACTACAGGGTGTTAAAAAAATAGCATTACTCTATTAGAGCTAGTCCGTCCCTGGAAAACTAAATAAGCCGAATTTGATTAAAAGTGCCCATTTTAAGGAAAGTTTTTAGGAAATTAAAGGAACTTGTCATGTTATTTTTATGTGTTCTATTTGAATCCAGGAGGTTGTTCACATATTTTGGGACACCCTGTATACATACCTTTAAATTATTTACCAAAAATATTTAACTATTACATCTCCTTATTGGAGTAAAAGTAACCAAAAAAAAAATAAAAAAGTGTCTCCCCGTGACAATGCGTTGGCATTGCCGTGACCAGGATTCGAACCTGGGTTACTACGGCCACAACGTAGGGTCCTAACCACTAGACGATCACGGCTAACGGAGACGTTGAAAATTTGTAAATTAACTCTCTACATAACCGCGAGTCACGCTCTACTAATCAAAATACCTTATTTTCTTTATTTTCCATAATAATTTCTCCCATAATCCTAATCAAATTTGCATAATTAATTATAATTATACTACTTGATCATGTGATGTTTATTTATTTAATTTTAGTTCCATTCCTGTTTATTTCACATGGATTTCTTATCTGTCTTGGTTTAAATATGGCAACGAAGCGCTTCTTATCAATCAGTGGCGTAACGTCACTGATATTGACTGTCCAATTGGAAACTCGACATGCCCCAGGGATGGTCACGTAATTTTGGAAATTTATAATTTTCAAGAGGTAATTATTAATTCAATTTATATTAAACACTGGGATAATTAATTATTTATAAAATGATTACAATTATTACTATTTGATAAACGGTTTAATTTCATTTGGTACTAGGTACCTACATTTATATTTGGAAAAATTGATTAGGTATAGGTATATTAAAACCACAATAATTGTGTGATTATTATAAATTAATTTATAAATTTTGGGCTTATGTAAATTATTAACTCTAATATTAACAATTATGTACCTAATCGACATTATGAATTAAAAATATAAAATTATCAAATAATTTTATTTTAGCTTTTTTTAACTCTATTTATTTTAGTTACGTAAGCCGTCTATAAAATAAATTGATTTAAATCATTTTTTTAATTATTATTATTAGGCTATTTATTTTTAAAATCATTTATGTATAAAGTATAGTATTACACTAAAGATTATGCGCATTATTCACTTTGTGATAATTTGAGTCTCTCGTCTAGGGACTTGAGACGCAAACCTCATCCTCGTAAATAATAGACTGCATTATCTCTGGTATAATATAATACTATAAAAAAGACTTAAATCATTTGTATCTGTCATAAATTTTGACATTTTAATTAAAAATTGTCAATGCTTCAAAAAGAAAATAAATTTGTTAAAGAAATATTAAAATATTTCAAATAATGGGGAACAGATTTTAATTACAAAAATAATTAATTGTTAACAATCATAACTGTAATTATAACTATAAAATCCAAATAATAAAAAGACGACCTAAACTAAATTTTTCCTAAAAAAATATAGTACATTTTTTGATTTTTCTTTTTATTTTTAGGATCATTTTATTATGAACATAGTAAACTTGGTTCTACTTATTTTGGGATTTAGACTTTTTGCATATTTTGCATTATTATGGAAATCCTATCATTATGAAAAATAAATTATATGGTAATATTATTTTATGTTAAAATGTAAATAAATACTTATTATTTTAATATTAACTTGATATCAAATTATGCCGCATTTGCTATTTTTTTGATTTTTTCAAAACATTTAGTTTAATAAATAAATATTGGCCATTTTATTAAATGTGGTGGCCAAAAATATCAAAATTAATTAAATGAATTACAACAATCATATAACTACTTATGTTCAATGTACATAATATGTATGATAAGAATAACTACATTTTTTCCAATTTAAAAAAAAATTAAACCTTTAGTTTAAAAACAAGCCGGAAAATTATTAGGAACATTTTTTCCCGTAAAATGAATGAATGAATCAATCATATTTTGTATACCATATATTTTCATATATAATAAGTTGTAGTACTTAATACAAGTAATCAAAAATATTTTAAATATTTTAAGGTGTGGTATAGCGAATATTGTTTGTGCTTCCTTTGAACAGTACGAGTGAGCAGCACTGTAGTATACTATAGTACTATATATAGTACTATATAGTACAATATTCGCAGCAATTTGTACTAGTTCAATATTTGCAACAATTACTTTTAGGGCCAGTATATTCAACTTCCACTAAATTTACCCAATGCTTAATTGTCATAGTTACAATTGTGTCAACAATGGCAACTATGACAGTTATCCATCCAGTAAATTTAAAGGGAGGTGAATATCGTCGCCTTCAGGAGATAATTGCTTAACTCCTTGTTGTAAAATTTTACAGGAGGAAAGAAAAACATATTAAAGGTGTATTGGTGTATCTCCACATTACCGCCAAAAAATTGTTTAATGGAAAATTACGTATCTCCAATCTGAACTTTATGTTAATAAAAGTAACCTTAAATTATTCATGGTACCTTAACTTTACACACTATACAATCTTTCATACTTACTTTTAACAAATTTCACTTTGGAAAACAATGGCTTTACAGAAAAAATAACTAGGCAATAACTTATACTTGTCAATGGCACTGATTTGTATTCTGGAGTTAGGCATTATTCCCTGGACGCTCCTCCACGATTGGAGATACGTATATTTCTTTTTCTAAATTTAAAATTAACGGTTTATTTTAGAACTTCTGTAACTTGCATATAAATTAGTTACAGTTTTATCTAATAGATGCCACTAAAATACCATTTTAATGAAAATGTGGAGTTACGTGATTTTCTCCTGAAGGCGACGATATACTGGCCCTTAATCGATTAAAAATTGACAAATAAAGCGCTCTGATTGATTAACTTTTAAGAGATGATAGGTAAAAAAAAATGTCCATGTAATTTCAATGATGTAAATCATAAAAATATACTTTTGGTATACAGGATGTTTCAAAATTACAATAAGATTATTTTTAATTAGGTTATGTAGTTTTAGACTATTTATTATTATGGAAATCATATTATTATGGAAAATAAAACATATGGTTATATTATTTTAAGTAAATAAATAATTTGTTATTTATTTTAATTTTAACTTAATATCAACCCGGCGCATTCGCCATTTTTGTTACTATTTTTGTATTTTTTCAAAACATGTAGTTAAATAAATAAATATTGGTCATTTTATTAATACATGTAGAGGTGGACAAAAATATTTTTCTGAAAAAAACATTTATTATTTCTCATACTTGTTTTTAGACCAATTTTTTATAGCCTTGTATACATTTTTTATATTCTTAAAAATTGTTCCTTCTGCAGAAGAATATGCTTTTAATTTGAAAAGTAAAACGACGGTACTATGCTATACACCCAAAAGTCCCACCACGTGAGTCAAGTGACGTGACTGATACAATATAATATATTGTATTATTTTTAGAAATAGGGTTGACACCGCCGTAAGGCGAAACCGGTCGATTATTAAAATACAAAAATTTACAGCAGGGAAGTGCCTAATTTAATTTTATTTACAATATTAATTATTTGTATTAGTCACGTGGTGAGACTTTTTGGTAAGGAAACAATTTTAAGACTCGTTTGAAAAAAAAATTTAAACTGTTAATAAAAATATTTAAAAAGTTTTTGATTTTTAGTGGTTTAAAAACAAGCAGGAAAATCACCAAGAATATTTTTTTTCGTGAAATTAATTAATCTATCAAAATTTGTATACCCCGGTATATTGTTTATATTATTTTCAGTAGTAGTAGTAGTAGTCTAAATTATAAAAATAAACTTTTGGTATACAGGATGTTCTAAAATCTAAATAAGTTTTGTAGTTTTTACACTAATTTTAGACGTTTATAGAAATATTTATTTACAAAAACAACGTTTTAATGATTTAAAATAACCATTATAAGATGTTGCCACATTTTTAAAAGTTAAACTTGTCAGAAAAAAAATGTTATGCTCAAAATAACATTTTATATCACGTCAGTGCGCCATGGACACCCTATAATATATCAAATAAATGTCCAATATGTATGAAATAATTGTTATGTATATGATATACAGTATATCTAAATAAATAAAATAATTATCTATTAATAAACTTATTTTTATTTTTACCCCATCCCTTTATAAAACTTTTTTTTGATATTATTACACTATGGTCCACAACCAAAAGTTGCACCACGTGACTTTGATACAAAAAATACATATAGGTATTGCATTATTTTTCAGAAAATATGAAAAAATTAGCTTGACACTGACAGAAAATTAACCTTAAATATTTTTAATAAAGTCACGTGGTGTGGTGTGGACTATATATGAGGATTCTAGAAGCCAAGGGGTATAAGTAGGTATTTGTTTTTATTAATAATAAATTAATTGCAATTAAAACTTAATTTTGATTATGTATACTGTCAAATAATAAAAAATAAGATTTAAAAAATCCTAAATGCAAGTTAAAGAATATATATATATCTATAAATTTGAAAAAAAATAATTTAAGGTTATTTTGATAAATACTCTAAACGTCCTTATTATTACCTTAAAATAAAGACACATATATACAGTAAGTAGGTATAAAAAATTTTCTTGGCGAGTCTTCCTGCTGCTTTTAAAACTTCCAAAACCAAAGATTTGTTACGGTTAATTAAATTATTACATTATATTTAAAATTGGCTTTTTCTTAAAAGTTCAACACTTTTCCTAAATTTATTAAAGAATTTAGTAAAGTTTTGTGTACAATAACCACAGATTCGATGATAAACATCAGTGAAAATAATCATAGTAAATACTCTTGTGGAATAAATTAAAATTTCGTCGTCTCATTGGACAGGAACCGTGAAGAAAGGAATCAATTTTTCTACTTTTTAAGACTGAGCCACTTTCTCAATTAAAAAGGTATAGGAAATGCACAAAGTCTTTAATATGAATAAAAAAACTAAATTACTTATGCCATGAACGATATAACACACTTCATCAAACAAAGTTGCCAACCAAAATACTTAAATTTGATTATTTTCTTGTACGGCCGACTTTGACATCAATAACTATTTTACAATCTAATTAAACACAAAATCGTTAGCATTTGATGTGTCATTTTGTCGCGCTCCGACGCCTAAATGTCATAGATACCTCTATTAAATATATGTAATTTAGTAATACTAAAATTAGATTTAAAAGGGATACGTTACATAGACAATCCATAACAAGCACAGGAGGGCTTAGTCAATAGTTGTATTGGGAAGAAGGGGGAACTATAAGGATCAAATTACAACTATCACTGAGCTACCTGCTTCCTACAGAGTAAATGTTTACATTTCCAACCATTTAGATTATTTTAATGTAACGGAATGTTTAATGAGATTATTAGGCGACAGTTGTATGAATATGTGAGTGGATGTATTAAATTTATTTAGCTTAAGTGCCTTAACGAAAAAAATGGAATCTAAGATCAAGAAAGGAGGTTCTAATGATAGCATTGAATTGGAGGAGTCATCAAACGTAAGTGAGCTATATTAAAAATAGTACATATTTGCAGGGTTTTCTTAAATGTAAAGTTTCTTTTAACATTTTTATCTCATTTTTAGAATTTAGTAATCTTGTTTTGTTAAATTTTTGTCATTTTAAGCCGTTTTAAATTTATTGTCTCCATATTTTTAGTTCATTAACCTTTTTTTATTGTTTACCACATTTTTAACCAAAAATAGAGAGTTCAAATTGTAATAAATAAACCATCTTGTTAATTATTTATAACTTAAAAATAAAATTTATATACAGGATATAAGACGAACCTAATATACTCATGCTCATGTTTTACAATTACCGTGACAGTAGAAATCAGACAAAAATAAAGTAAAGTTACATTTTCACCATCAAAAACTTAAACTTAAGACGTATGATAAGAATTACTTTCGTGATAGTTGGAAGCAAACTCGAATATCTTGATTTTAAATTTTGATTTTGATCGATCCCTTATCTACAGAGGCACAAAAAAACAACTTATTTTAAAATTTTAAGTTATAAGTCGAAATTCTTAAATTTTAAAATTTTCTTGTTATAAGTCAAAATTTTAAAATTACGAGATACAACTCGAAAAGTTATCTCTCTCTTGTTTTGTCTCTTGTTTTGTTTACTTAATTTTGATTGCCATAAGCTTCACCTTTAAGAGCGACATTTAATTTTCATTTTCATAGTTTTTTGCCTCTAGCGGGCAAACAACCGTATTTGCCCTCTCTTGCCCCCCACTGTGCGCATATGAGCTCGTAAAAATTAACGGTTTTCGGTGATTTTTTTTGGTATATAATAATAAGTATATTAAAACGAACTATAAAGGACCGAATAGGATACATAGTCACCCATTTGTTTGCGACTCACCCCTGTAAAATCTTTATTTATTGTGCGGGTTTAACCGGATTTGTGTAGATCTTGATAAAGTGTATTTTTGGAGCAAGAACGCCATATTTTTACAAAATATAAGGCCTACTATGTCAGTTTTTAAGAGTAAATTTTTAAGAATTTAAATTAGCGATTTTTTTAAACAAAATCTAAGCACGGCACTGGATTCACCACCCCTCAAAATGACCCTATACTAAATTTTATTAAAAAATTTTAAGTAAAAAAATGCACAATAATAACTAAAAAAATTTATTCTGTCAAGTTATCAATGAAA